ATAGCAGGTGCACAATATGTTGTAGACTTGAATGAGTGAAACCATGTAGTGATTTTGCTCTTCAGATGATAAAACAAAAGCCCAATATTGTTTTAAATGTTAGTGATGGGGCCAGTGACAGGGCTCAGCGGGTAAATGCACTCACCATGCAATCTTGGTGTGGTGACTTGAATGAGAATGGTCTCCATACACTCATCTATCTTAAATGCTTGGTCCCCAATTGGTAGAACTGTTTGGGAAGAATTAAGAGGAGTGGTCTTATTGGAGGAGGTGTATTACTGAGGTCTCAAAAGATTTACATCATTCCCAGTGTCTCTCTCTGCCTAGTGGTTGTCTCTCAAGATGTGAGCGGTCAGCTCCATCTTGTGTGGCTCCACTGCTGTGCCTGCCTGCCGCCATGCTCCCCACTATAATGGTCCTGGACTCCAATCCTCTGAAACCAGAGCACCAAATTAAACACTCTCTTTTATAAGTTGCACTGATCGTGGTGTTTTATCACAAAAAAAAAGAAAAGTAGCTAAGACACATGATAACTTGAGTTTGATCTCTGGACCCATGTAGAGGTAGAAAGAGAGAACCAAATCTGTGAAATTGTCTTCTGGCCCCTGCATGCATGCCACAGAACATGCACTCACTCACACACACAATAATAGAGGTAGACAGACGGACAGATAGATGACAGATAATTTTAAATGTGGATGGTGAGCACGGCTTTAAGTTTAGACTTTTGTGGTCCACCCAAAACAATGCTGTCCTTTATTGAGCCATCTTGTTCTACCTTTTTGTTCTTTTGTCCAAGTTCAACCGTCCAGCAATGTCTAGACCTCCAGGGACTGCCATGGTCCCTCTCCACAGTTAATGAGCTGTTTGTGCTGTCTTTCTTTGTCAAGGTGACTTCCCTTTCTGATCTTAAGATCTGCAGCCACAAGCTGGGCAGTGGTGACACACACCTTTAATCCCAGAACTGGGGAGGCAGAGGCAGGCAGATCTCTGTGAGCTTGAGGCCAGCCTGGTCTACAAAGCGAGTTCCAGGACAACCAACACTACTGCATAGAGAAACCCTGACTTGAAAAAGAAAAGAAAATCTGCAGTTACTTTTAGGGGTTCTAGGTGTATTTCAGTGACTTCTTTGAATAAACCCCAATTGTGATATAAGGAATCATGATTGTCCCAGAGCTACCACCTACCATGGTCTCCATGGCCCAGTTGGTTTTAACTCTGTGGGTGAGCATGGCCTAGGTGGATGCCCTGCTATCAAGTCTATAAACTGATTTTTATGTATATCCACACTCCTTCCTACCCCTGTGAGTACTGGGCAACCTTGGCCTAAAAGTCCCAGAAAATCGTGAGGATGGTGCCTTGTTTGGGGCACTTCACCTTTATCCCTTGAACTTAGTGACTCATTATCCTGGCTGTCCATCTCGCCACAAACTGATCAGTTGTGAACATTCTGTTCTGTCTGGCAGTCACAGATCAAGCAGAGTCCTGGGTGAACAGCATATTGCTGAAACATCCCATTTTGTCTATTTTTAGGTATAATTTTTTTAAAATTTAGACTCACGTGCATTGGCCTCAGGGCAATAACAAAAACGTGATTTGAAAGGAATTCCATCCTTAACTCTATGCATGTCATTACAGAGAATAAAATGGATAGGAATGCTTAAACATTTACTTCACACTAAAAATAGAAACTTTCCACTTTCTTCCCTATCTCCTCTCTGATCAGTCTTTATATCCCCGGGGAAAGCTCTCCTAGCGCTGGCCTCCGTAGTGACCTTTTCTCCAATGCCCCTCAAGACCTCACTATATAATGTGACTTGGCATCTCACTCAGCATCCTTTTCCAAACTCTTCTGAGGGGGAAAGAGGCTGTGCAGTTAAAGAGTGCTCTTTATAGAGCCAGGGGAAATGAAGAAGTGAAGGAGGATTTATTTCGGCTTGCAGTTTGGGGGTACAGTCCATCGTGTCAGTGATGTCACAGCGGCAGGAGTATGAGGCGGTGATGTCACAACAGAAGGGATGTGAGGTGACTGGCTGCTCATATTGCATCTGCAGCCAGAAAACAGAAGCGAGATGAGCACTGCTGCTCACATCTTTTTATTCAGCCTGTGACCCCCCCACCCTAGCTCGTGGGATGGTGTGTCTCGAATTCAGGGCGCGTGTACCTCCAAAGTAAATCCTTTTGGAAACACCCTCAGAGACACATCTAGAGGCTGTCTTTCCACAGCTTTCTAAATCCTGTCAAGTTGACAATGATGATTAATCATCACACCCACTCAGACATGTTTTAAGATTTAAGGCTATTGTGAGCCTTAGTACTTTCTTACAGTCACTACTAGCAACACATTTTCGATAATCTTGATTGTAAAATGTCACATCAACAATTGGCACTCAGAAGCCAGAGAGATGGCTCAGTAGTTAAAGGCATTTGCTGCTCTTCCAGAAGATCCAGGTTCAATTCACAGCACAGGTGTCGTAACTTACAAGCATCAGTGACTCCAATTTCAGAAGCTCTGACACCCTCTTCTGGCCTCTATGGACACCAGACACATATGGTGCACAGGCAAAACTCCCAAACATGTAAAACAATACAGATACTCTTAAAACTGTCACATCCTGGTAACAGCCTGCGAGCTAGTAAAAACCCTACGGAAGACCAGCTCTGAAACAACAGGGCGTGATGAGCTGGAGCTGGTAGGATTTAACAGACAGAGCAGGGAAGGCTGTGCTGTATTGCCTGTCCATCCATTCTTTTCTTCAGCCGGTTGAGACGTGCTGTGACTCTATCAGTCCAGGACTAATGCAGAAGAGACAGAGAAGAGGCAGCCTCAGGCCTCGGTTTCAGAAAGCCCTCCTCCAGGTGGGGAAACCACTCGTGTGATTACTTCAGCTATAACACACAATCTGGGGTTCTAGTAGTGCAGTTGCTGGGCGTGGGGCGGCTGGCACAGAACACCTCTGAAATGAGTTAGGGGAGGTGCAGCTGTAGAGGGCGTCCCAGAGGAAACATAATTCCATCTGGGTCCCCGATGGATAGAGAGCAGAGCCGGTACAGTCACACATGCCTGGAATCCCAGCGCTTGGAAGGATGAGGCAGGAAGATACCGAGTTCAAGGCCACCTGAGGCTACTTATGGAATTGAGGTCAGCTTCAATTACAGAGCAAGATCCAGTTCCAAAACAAACAAACAACAAAGGGCAAGTAAACGTTTTAGGTAAATAATGGAGCGGCACTGGCGGCTCCGCTGAGCAAACACTTACTTCTCAGAGGCACAAATTTGAAGTTCCTAAAACAGAGGATATGATTGGCCCACCCTGGGTCTCACGCTGGTCCAATCAAGGCAGCTTTAGGGAGCTGCTGAAAATGATGGCTACAGTCTCCTCCCAAAGTGGAGCTAACTGGACCAGTCACCTTGACAGTGTTGTGATTTTGTGGTTCCGGGTTCACAGCTTTCATGCCTCATGCTTCCTTCTCTAGAATCAAAGCCCTAGTCTGAGTGGAGATAATTCTTTACAGCAAGGTCACAGGTCCTTTTACTCCTGTCCCTGTCTGAAAGGGCACAGGGAGTGACTTGGTCACATGGTTTCAGGCCCCAGGCCCACTCCCCTTGGCTTCCCTCCTCCACTGAGCTAGCACTGCCCAAATGGGCCTCGGCTCCAGAGGCAGTTGAGCAAATCCAGATGTTAGAAAAGCACCGTTCCCGGGAGGGGCTGACAGCAGCTGAAGGACAGTGCACTGGAGGGAGGCTTGTTTGTCATCAGAGTGAGTAACTGGAGGCGGACTGTGGCCATGTTTCCATCCAAATGCGGGGGAAGAAGGGAGGTGGGAAAGAGCTGACTAGCAAAATGCCAACGCTGGGGAAGTGGCCATGTGTGTGCCTTGGAGGCATGGCCATGTGTGTGCCTTGGAGAAGTGGCCATGTGTGTGCCTTGGAGGCATGGCCATGTGTGTGCCTTCCCTCCTATTTACCTTGCCATTGTTAGACGGGCGCTCCCCCTCCCACAAGACCATCTCCCTAAATGGACATTTCTTCACCCATTGTGTTTGCTTGCAATAGAAGGAACTTAGTCTGGCCACAAAAGATTTGTTTCCCTGCTCCTCCAAGTCACACTCCTCCCAGACTGTGGGGCTTAACATAACTTCTAACCACAAGGACATGGGGGTGGGGGAAGCTTTATTCCTCTCTCTTGCCAAGTTTTATCTCCTTATCTTTCCTTTGAATAACCCACCCTAGCCCATGGTTTCTGCAGAGTTCTGTCCTTCACCCACCCTGTAATTTCTGGATGTGTTTGCCTCAAAGAGCTAAGAAGGTTAATTGTCACGCTAAGACAGGACTGACTTGAGACTCAGAAGCCCTCAAGGCTTAGCTCTGCCAACCTCTACCCTTGTAACCTCAAGTAAAATACAGGGTTTTCTTCTGGTTTCTCTTCCTTCTCTTTCCTGTCTCTGACCATGCCTGCACGGCCTAGTGTGCCCATCAATCAGTTCTGCCCACCACGTCCTAAACTAAGCTTTTATCTACCTAGACGCTTAGCCAATGCCCCCATATTAAAATTTAACATCTCACAGTCTCTGAAATTAGAACAATAATACCAAATTGTAAATACCAACTAAGGCATTTCATGTGATTTGTAAACTATGAAGAGGAAAAGCACATGGTTCAAAGTCGAAATCATGTTATTACAGTTTTGTGCCTTTTTAGAAATACATGGTTCTGTTAAACTGGAGGGTTTAGGGTAAAGGGTTTGCAGGGGAACTACACTTTCTCATTGGCAGGGTTTCATTAATCATCACACCTACCCTGCTCCCTCACTGGAGGTGCTTTTTCTCGTTGTTTTAGGTTTGTTGTAGGGATATAGCCAACAAATCAGGGCTGTTCAACTTCTACACTGCTGACATGATAGCAGGCAAGAACACCCAGAGGCATCCATGTTGGAAGCCAGATAAGTGTTTGTTGGGGGGGGCAATAATAGAATGTCCAGCAGTGGCTCTTGCCCTCCATCCATCAGCTCCTAATAGCATCCTCCCCTGGGAAGTAACAGTTGGAATGTTTGACATACTTTTTTCTCTTGCATCTTTGTTACAGATATTCTTGATGTTTTAAATGTATGTGCCTGTGTCCCCTAAACACTGCACTCAGTCCTGCCCGGAGATGTTTTTGCTGATTTAGGTTTGAAGTACATATTGAGTGACTGCCCTACTGCTGACCTGCATCCTTGGCCCATGAGTTGATTTTAGCTGCAGCAAAATTGTAATGGGGCGTTGTGGGGGTGTTCTGCATGTATGTGTTCATAGTATTTCAGTCTAGTCTATCTTCTTAAATATTTAATTATTTGTGGTTTAAAAAAACTTTCAAAATCCTCTCCTCTAGTTTTTTGAAATGGATGGTTCATTCTTAACTATGGTTACCCTTTTCTAATGATTGTCATAAATAACACAGCAGAATTTCTTGATCCCCTTAATTAGCTTTCCTCACCCTTCCTCCCTCCTGTCCTAGACCTCGGGTCACCACTATTCTGCTCTCAACTTCTGTAAGATGATTCTGCATGTATGTGAGAGTCTGGTTTGATTTGGTTTGTTTTTTTCTGAAATTCCACATATGATGTGGAATTTGTCTTTATGTAACTGACTTATTTACCTCAACCTTCTCCAATTCCATCTGTGTTATTACAAATACCACAACTCCATTCTTCTTAGGGCTGCAGGTGTTCCGTGGTATATGTGCACCATGTTTTTGCTATTCATTCACTAGTTAGTGGACACTTTGGCTGTTTCTTTTTCTCTCTAGTTATGAATAATGTCGTAAACATGGAAGATGATTCTTCAACATACTGGTCTAGTTTCTTCATATGCATAAAGAGAACAGTGGGGTTTCTGGATCATATAGTAATTTTATTCTTATTCATTTATTTCTTGGGGGTCTGGAATAGCATTTCATCTCTGTACGAACTCACACACATACACGCATGCACACATGCACAAGCATGCTGTGAGCACAGTTTGCACGGATCCCCATTTCTCCAACTCCTGTCGTCACTTACTATGTTGGGTCTTTGGGATGTGATTGTCTTTCTTATTTGAAGGGCAATATCTCCTTGTGGCTTTGATTTACATTCTCCTGAGGTTTGGTGATGATGAATATTTTTTAAAATGGCCCATTAGTCATTTGTAGTCTTCTTTGGGACAATTAATGCCTATGTAGGTCTACTGCCCACCTTTCAGCTGGGTGATTCGGTTCACTTTACTGAGTCTTTGGAGTTCCTTGTGTCTTCTGAATGATGACCTCTTGTCACATGCGTAGTTTGAAAATGTCTTCCATTCCATCTATTGTGTCCTCACTCAGATCACCATCTGCTTTGTTGAGAAAGAGTTTTTCAGGTCAGCATAGTCTGATTGGTGCTGCTCTTACTTCAGGTGCTTTGAGGAGTCTTCTGAGAACGTTGCCCTTTCTGTAAAAGCTTCCCCTATGTTTCCTTCTGACAGCTCCGGATTTCACATCTAAGTTTTCAACTCATTTTGAGCCCAACTCATCTTTTTCTTGTTTTTGAGACAGGGTCTCACTATGTGGTCCAGAGTTGCCTCAAATTCTTAGTCCTCCTCCTCAGCCTCCTGAGGGAGCTGAGATAACAGGGTTGTCAGCTACTTTTTAAAGTAAATATTCTATAAATACTCAGGAGTAGTTAAGTGGGCTTTACCTGAGAAGCAATTTTAGATGGGTATCTCAAATGGGTGTCCAGAGGGCCCCTTCACATAGCAACTAGAGCCACCACCACCTGAGCCCCTACTTGGGGCTTGATCCAGGCCACTCATCTACCCCTCACCATGCCCTGATTAAGAGTTACGGGGAATAAACATCTTCCTTCCACCTTACAGATGAGTGAACAGAAACCCAAATGTGCCAATCAAAAGCACATGGTTGTTAAGTAGCAAACCTGAAATTTGGTTCCAAGCTCAGTGGAGCAGGTACTAGATTCCAGCTTCTAAAACAGAAACTCTGAAGCTTGAAACCCTAAAGACAGTAGAGAGCTTCTTGCCTAATCCCCACAACTACTAGATTAAGAAAAGGCCCCCTTGATGGGTGGCAGTGGTACACACCTTTTATCTCAGCACTTGGGAGGCAGATGCAGGCAGACCTCTTAGTTTGAGGCTAGCCTGGTCTACAGAGCCAGTTCTAGGGCTACATGGAGAAACCCTGTCTTGCATGAGCAATATAAAATAGAGGTTATGGAGCTATTGTGACTAATCATATGTGAACTGATAAGTTCTAAAAAATGTAGTTCAGACATTTCCCAAGTGTTTCATCATCAAATCACGGGAAGAACCTGGCTCCCTCCTCAAGTCAATAGGGCAGCTACCACTGAGGCCCTGCAAAGGCAACATTCTCTTTCCCATAACATCAGTGATGACACAGGGAAACTGAGCATGTTGGACAATGGGGGCCACTTCTAATACCCCAGGGAGAGGACACTCAGACACTGAGGCACATCTCCAAAGGCCTGGCCCATGCCCAGGGACTTTGGAATCTTGTGGTTTGCCTCAAACTCTGGCAAGAGGGAAAAGTCCCAGTGCCTAATTTAGTTGCTCCCTCAAAAGTAAACCAAAGTGAGTCATGTGGGAATGGAGAAACCACCAGTGCCTGATGTCCATCTGAGGATCCTGATGAAGACCCAATGCTGAAGATGTGGGGATGTAAGTACCCGGGTGGCCTCTGTTTCCACTCCAATGAGTCACTTGCAAGATGAGCCAAGCATGTGCATGTCCATCATGCAATGAAGGATTGCCTCATGTATGCTTCTGCCTCCCCTTGTAAGTACCCGGGTGGCCTCTGTTTCCACTCCAATGAGTCACTTGCAAGATGAGCCAAGCATGTGCATGTCCATGCTCACATGCAATGAAGGATTGCCTCATGTATGCTTCTGCCTCCCCCTTGGTGAGTTTACCAGCCACTGTTTAATATCATCCAAGGAGACTAGAAATGTATACAATGGTGTTATTACAGGGTTAGCCTGGTTCTGCTTAATATGACAGAAACATCTAAGTTTAGACTTGGGCTAGTAATGTGGATCAGCTGAGACTTGCCTAGCATGCAGGAAGCTCTGGGTTAAGTCCCCAGCACTTCATAAACCTAGCATGTTAGCACATGTTTGTCATCTCAGTGCTCAGGACGTGGAGACAAGAGAATCATAAGTTCAAGGTCATTTTTTAAACTGGGCCATGTGTTCTGCTGCCTCAAAGGGAAGGGGAGGGGAGGGGAGGGGAGAGGAGAGAGGTGGAAAGGAGGAAAGAGAACGGAAGGGAGGGAAAGGGAGAGGAGAAGGAAGGGAGGGGAGGGGACAGAAGGAAGGGAAGGAGATTGGGGAGGAATAAAGCAAGAGGGGCTTTTTTCACTAACACCAGCACTGGTGATATTGTTTATTATAAAATAATCTCTGCATGTGATGAAGATTTCATCCAAGTAGTAGAGTACTATGAAAGCCCTCTCCTCACTCCACCCCTGTCCCTATTACATCCAACTTTAACCAGTTCCTATCTCAGTTCTTCTGCTGGTAGCAGCAAACTACTAAGTAACATGGCTTGCCTCTTTCATCTGTGACCTTTTGACAGTACTTCCTGACTCTTGCCTCATGAAGGGTGCACTAACTCATCTTCTCACCACCTTTGTCTCTTCTCACCTTCATTGTTTCAAGCTGTGTCCCTTACTCGTCCCACCTGCCACCCACCTCGTGTGAGTGTGTGTGTGTGTGTGTGTGTGT